TAGATACCTCAGTGCAAAACATCCATCTGGGTGTTCTGGTGCTGTACTCGGAAAGTTCCCAAGGTTTTAACCTGAGTTTATTCTGGCATAGTTGTGAGCTGTGCTCAGAGCTGGATCATTGGCTGTGTCAGCAGGGAGCATGCAGCATTGTCCAAGGGCTTCTGGTGCCATGTCCTGGTCCAGCCCAGGTAAACAAATGGCTGTTGATGAAAGCCCAGGCTGCAGCACCTGGGGTATCACAGTTATTCTTTGCAGGAGAGTGAGCTGGGAGAAAATCTCCAAGGGACAGCAAAGAGCTAGACTGCATTTAGAGAAGTGTTATGTAAATTCTGATTTACACACACAGAGGCTAAAGGCAGGCTGGGAGAGGTTAAATATATCCCATATTCTGCATGCTCCGAGTATTGCCTGCAGTCCCAGGACACAGGTTATAATAAAATCCTCATTTTCTCGCACAGCTCTCGTTCCCTCTTATTTTCATGCAGCCAACTGTTTACTCTGAGCATGACGTCTCCCAGAGCAGGTGATGACGGGCAGTAAGTTCGGAGCCATCATCACATGTGGGAGCTAGGAAATGAGCAGTGCCATCCTGTGGTGCGGCTTCAGCTCTGCTCGCAGCCGGTGGAAGGTGGCTGTTCCTGCCGGTCCTCAAGTACCCGAGCTGAATGTAGAAAATGGGAACTGGAAGTGTCTTACAGAGTGGGCTGGGATCAGTGGTTCATTATTGAAACTGAATGGAGAAGGAAGAGGGAGCAGACAGAGATTGCAATGGAGATTTTCTAGCCTCTAAGGAGTTTAAATTTATCTTTCTCCAAGGCTATAGCCGTTCCTGGGGTAATTTTTCATTTAGCACACACCTTTTAGGGCTTTGATTTCTTCAGATTTCATGGAAGTTATGTACTAACTTATGGTTGTGGTGTTTCCTGAACAGAAATACCTCTCCAGGATAAGCTCCTGCCTTTCTTCGATAGATAGTTCATGCATTGCAGTAAATTCAGTTCTTCTGTGAACTCCCCATCCTGTGCACATGCTGTGGTGACATCTGGAAGGCCTGCCCATGGTGTAGCCCTAGGGCATGTGTTGCTGGCCATCCCTAGATGTTCAGGAATCCTGTACAAATGGTGGAAACTTGTCCTTGAGATCTTCCCAGACCAAATTTCTGAGCAGGCAAAAATATAACTTGCTTGGGAAAACACTGACCTCTGGTAACAGGCTTAGGGTCACAGGCTTGGTTTTATGCTTAAGTCAGGAAGATTCATGGAGGCTCTGAAACACATTTGTGGGAAAGCCAGCAAGGGATGTGAGGTGGGAGTGATTTTCCCCAGAGCATTAAAGAAAACCTATATCAGCCCCTCTTTGAACAACTGTTTGATTGTCACACTATTTAACTCTTCTGACTGCATTCACAGACACAAATCCTTTTCTTGGCTGCATCCTCTGGCTCCCAAAGCCCAGCATCTCACCATGGCTATTGAAGCTACCTTCTGTATCCGCACCAGCTGGCAGTTCTTTGGGCCTGCAGACCTGGGATTTAGAAGCCATCACAGTGGAAGTGTCCTTATGTCCCAGGAACTCTTGCTGCTGGAGCAGTGGTCTGCCCATTTAGGCTTTTCAGAGAGCTCCAGGTGGGAAAACTTTCACATCAGCTCTAATCTCTCTACATTGTCATGGTGCTGTGCAGGCAGAACCTTACCTGTGACTTTCTGAATGTGAAGGACACCTGTGGCCAAGCCCAGAGCTGGACCACTGCATGGGCTCTCCCATATAGGCGGGCACTGCTGCAGGGCAGGGGCTCAGCCTGGCTTTGGGGGAGTGAGTGAGCCTCTCTGTGCAGGAGAGCAGTATCAGCAGGGTCTTAGCTCACGGGGCGAGGCTGGGGTGTGCTTGAGAGGGTGGAGTAGGAAATAGCTTACTGGGCTGTTGCACTGCTGCCCTCACAGGTGGCACCCACTCAAGCAGAGTTTGGAAAGAAGCCATTTCAGCTTAGCTTAGCTCAGGTTTTTAAAATCCTGTTGGGGTGAGCTGCTGTGAGAAATCACACCACAAAAGATCAAGAATGCATTGGCAGAGGTAGGAACATTTCCCAAATGATTTCTTCCCTAAGGACCATCCAGAGGCACCAAAATGTGTTGTCTTACAGGAAGGATGGAGCCCCTGGGAGGGGGCAGATAAAAGCCTTCTCCTTGGGAGCCCAGCTGCACATTAGTTTCAGCTGCATCATCAAAGTGAGTCATTCAATAAAAACAATTAGCTGAGGAAATATCACTAAACAGTAATAATTATCCAAACGTCCTAGCATTGACCATTTAGATGACTAAATCAACACAATCAATTGTGTTAATGAATGCTAATTCAAATCTAATAACTTTCTGGTTTATTTGATTGTATATAAAGAATTCACCTGTGATGTTTGGACAGGATGGGGCAGCAGACCAGCCAGATGCCTGGTCACCTGCCTGTCCTGTGGGCTCTGTGAATGGGTGATCCCCATTCACATTCTGCCAACAGCACACACCAGTGTCCCCTACATAGTCTGCAGAGTGGTAGAAGAGTGCTTAGATGATGTCTAGGTGCCCTTCATCTGGGTTTCATGGACTTCAGAGAGACTTATGCCCACACAAAAATGTGGTGAAGCCTCTCAGGAGAGGCTACATTCTCCTTTCTGCCTTCTTGCCTGAAGGGTCTTAGAGTAGTCTGAATCTCCCAAACTGGATGACTGGATAAAGTCAGATGAACACCAGGTATCCATGTCATCTGTCTGAGAACAAAGGGGCATGGAGGGAACTCATGCTTAAAACTGACAATTACAGTTTCAGTCAAGAACAAGTCACACTTGTAATTCATGTTGAAAACTGATCCTCTGGCTCAGGTTTTATTCTTTCCTCCTGTCCTTATCACTGGTACCTAGGCTCTGGAGACACAGGTCATCCCTGAAGTGCTTCATGCTCTGGATGGACTGTGAACATTGTTCATTTTTTTATGTGTGGATATTGTTTTGTTGTGTCTAGACGTTGGTATGATACTTGCCACCGCAATATCTAGAAATTATGGATGTTATAGATCCATTGGGATTCAGCTTGGTGCTGGAATTGCCCTCACACTTCCCCTAAAGGTGAAGTGAGCTCCTCCACCCCCACTACCAGCACACCAACCCTTCTTCATCCATACTTGTAAGTTCTAGGAAGAAGTTAATTCTTAAAAAAAGTTTGTCCTTTATCAATATTTCAAGAAAGAAATCAGCAAAAATACCAAGGAGGCAGCCTGCCCTGAAAACTGATGCACTATTTTCTCATGTCTGTAGAAATTATTATATTTAGCTCTCTTCATGCTCTGCTTGCACAGGAAGGAGTGAATGTGTCTGGCACAGGGAGCAGTGCCACACAGTGTGCCAGGGTGGCTAAAACCCACCACCTCTGAGGTGAGCAGCTGTCAGGCTGTGCTCATGCCTCTCACACTGATGCTCTGTCCACTGAATCACATTTTTGCCTCAGGTGAAAAACAGTGCAGGCATCAACAAGGTGAATTTCTCCTGCTGCCTGCTATCTGTTCTTGCTATGGCATTGAGGGGATTTCTAAGTGGGGCTAGCATGCAGGTGAATCGCTACAGTGTGCTGCAGCAGGTCTGGCTCTGTCCCTCTTGCACTCACCAGCCACAGGTCTGGCAGAGGGAACAGGAGCCATGCCAGGGAGCTGGGAACCTTTGCCATCAGCTGAGGGAGCCTGGCCATGCTGTTGGTAGGAGCAGCCCTTGTACTACAAGGACTGGTCTCCTTTGCTTGTCTGCTAGTATTAACATTCATTTGCTCTCTGAAACAGACTTGGTTTATTTTTTTATTTTTTTTTAGGTCATTCTGTGTAACATAATCATATTGGAGTAGAATTCTTCTGCCTAATCAAATGAAACTTCATGTAGTTAGTTTGTCCTTAGCATTTACTAATGAATGTGATTGTGAGGATTTAGTTTCTCACATGGTTAATAGGAAGGCATTTAGATAATTATAGCTGTCTAGTGTCTTTCCACTGCTAATCGCTTTTACTGCCTGGTTCATTTCCAGACCAGCAAGTGAAACTCTGGCACACAATTGTGCAGGGAAACTGCCTCTGTGGTTATATATTGCTGTATTCCTGATATGATGGTTTGTAGGTGTGAAGTCAGTTCCCAGCTCCAACATAAATTTCATATGAACTTCAGAAAATCACTGCCGTGCTGTGATCCAGCTTTCCCACTTGTCTACACCATGCTAGGTCATGCATTAGTCCAGCACTCCTCCCTGACACTGGCCAGCTGAAGACACTTAGAGAAGAATAATATAAGCAGACAAATATGTAACAGCCCCACTCCTGGACTGTGCATCCAGCTTCCAGAGCTTTAGGAGTTTTCCATGCACCTTTGCTCAGAAGCTGCAGTGAATTTTCCTAATCCCTTGCTGGACTTTGCCACATCTTTGATTTCCATGACATCGTGTGACAATGATGCTGAACAGAAAACTGCACAAAAAAATCCCTGGTGTTTGTTTTAAAACTACTAGGTGGTATTTCAATTGAGAAAAATCAATACTTCTGTTCAGAGAAACAGGGAATGAGATTTTTGTTCTTCACCTTTTTAGGGCAGCTGTGATGTGACTGAGTTGTCACCCCCACTCTGCTGTCTCCTTTCCAAGCTTCAGCTAGTCCTGCTTCCATCCTGGTTATTTTTTTCTCAAATGAGAACATTTTCATGCCTGGTTACCTTTTACAGAACCTATTTTTTTTTTCTGACCATCTTTTTAATACAGAGTGCAAACTGTAGTTAAGAAGGATTTATAGAAAGGTAAAGTGTTGTTTTCTGCTTCAGTCCTATTAATTCTGGTAATTCTGATAATTGTGGTTGTTTTGTCCAAATGGAGCCCTGATCTCAAGTATGCACCATGGCTCTGAAATTAATTTCCTAGTAAAACCAGTTCATTTAAAGTCTGTGGCACATATAGATTTCCCCCCCAGGTGCTCAATAGTGCTTTTGTTCATGTGGAATTTAACGCAAAATCTAATTTCTTATTGCTGTGCTACATCACATTATGAAATATTTCTGTACTTTTTAGCTATTGTTTTATCTTTTTTGAATAATTTTTCATCAACTGCAGCCTTTGCTGCTTTGCCCTTCACTTTGTTCACTTAAATCATGTGGTAAAAGACTTGGCATTATTTTCTTTTAAGACAAGATCTGGGGGAAACATGCCTGTTACACAAGCTAGTGAAGTATGTTCCAATGATGATTATGGTAATGATAATTCTCATAACCTTTTTTGTCATTGCTCTGTCCTCTGATTGTTATCTTGTTGCTAACAAACAATTCAGTAGCTATTTGGACCAGTACTATCTTCTTAGAAGCTAAATGGGTCAAGGGGTTTCTGCCAGCAGGAGAGATTTCTGTACTGATAAGATGAAGAGAACCAGGAGGAAGAAATTTTTGACTAATATTAAATTAAAATTAGGAGCTGCGACGACTGGTCTGAGAGAGATGAGGGACCCTCAGAAACTCTAGCATGCCTCCCAGCAGCCACTCCTCAGTTTACTACGACGGTATTTAATTTCAATTAACAATTTTTAGTTCAGTTTATGATTACTTCCCCCTCGTCCTTTCCTGTTTACCGCCCCTCCAGGGTTTTAGTGCGACACCCCTCTCCGTCCCGCTCCTTTCGCGGTGGTGGAGCAGGGGAAAAGGGGAAGGGAAGGGAAGGGAAGGGAAGGGAAGGGAAGGGAAGGG